CGTTGCGCGAGCATTGGAGAGGCCAGCCTCCGGCTTCTCAGCGTGTCGCGAGTGCTGGATCTCTGTCTGCCTAGTAGAAAGCTGCGTTTTTTTTTGGGGGGGGGGGGGGGGGTCTGCGTCTCTCGGGCGCGCTTCGTACGCTTGGGACAAGAGCGTCGGAGCGGGCAAGTTGGCGGGGGAGGGGGAAGTGGGGTCAGGGTCTGGTTGGGCGAAAGACACACGGGAGACAATCGGGGGAATAGATGATGCAAACCGGGGACATCGATGGCCATTCGGATTGGTGTGTTGCACGTGATAGTGCACGTGTGACTGTGAGCACCACGCCGCGGGGGGTCCGGGGAAAGCGGTTTGGGGAGGGAATGTTGACAGGAGCTCCAATCCCTCCTCTGGGCTGTCTGTTTTATTTCTTTCTTTCTTTGCGAATAGGCAGGAGCGAGTTCGCGCTGCGTTCGTTAGGCTCAGACGGCACATCCCCACATTTCTTGTTGGCATCTAAAAATCTCAAGTTCGCGCTGCCTAGCTCAGTACACGGCGAGTTCGCGCTGTGCGGGAGTGCGGCCCCTGCACCGCGAGGCTCTTGGCGGAGATTTTCGAGGGGAGGAGGACAGGGTCCACACCTGCACGAGCAGGATTCATACATACATACAGAGAGAGACAACCCCCTCTCTCTTTTCTCCCAGTAAGCTAAACGTACGTACGTACATACAGGATTTTGGAAGGACGATCAAACAATACGAAAGGGAGGGATGGTGGCTCACTGTCTTCTTGTTTTCCAGTCGTAAAGAAAGAAAGAAAGAAAACAGACAACCCAAGGGAGGGATGGGAGGACGGTACGCCGCCACCACACAGGGATTTTAGGGGAGAAGTGTGGTGTAAAGAAAGAAAGAAAACAGGCAAACCCAGACGAGGGATGGGGGAGGAGGACCGGGTCCCCACCTGCACGAGCAGAAGTGTGGTGTAAAAGAAAGAAAGAAAGAAAACAGACAACCCAAGGGAGGGATGGGAGGACGGCACGCCGCCACCACACAGGGATTTTAAGGAGAGGAGTCCCGTTCGTGCGAAGCATCGAAAAATTCTTTTTGTGCTTGCCTTCGAAGGTCGCCAATGGCAGGTGAGAGGCCTGACACCGCGATGGAGCCCGGCTCCGCCGCGCTCGAGCCGCGCGCGCCGCAAGATCGAGACGGCGCGCGACAGCCGGAGATGCAGCCGAGATGCAGCCGAGATGCAGCAGAGATGCAGCCGAGATGCAGCCGAGGTAGACGGCGGGGGCTGGACTGCCGACCCCCGCCCCAACGCTGGCCTAGCTTGAACTCAGCCGTCCCACCGCTCACGCCGCCCTCGCCTCCCCCTCAGGCGCAAAGAG